AGCCTTAATAGCACCGCCAGCCCAGTTCCCTTCCATCCATCTGCCACCACCGTCGAGCACATATGTCTACTCACGCTACGGCTGAGCGGTGGCCTCCGGACTTAGAGGCGGGAACACCGAATCCGTCCAATCTAGGCGAGCTCTGGAACGTCGCCCTCCAGCGCCACGAGCAAGAGACTGGAATAAAGCTGCTCAAGAGCGCGAACGCAAAGGATTTTCCACTTCGCCCTGCCACTGCCGAAGAAGTCCTTGCGATCTTTGCGGCACAGAGCCAGTCGTTCGAGGCGTTCCGAGCGCGCGGTCGAAAGGTTCTGCAGGTGTTGAAACCCATCGTCCACTTCATCTGTCTTTTCATCGATTCCGGGGCTGAGGCCGGTTCAGTGAGTATCGCTCCATGTCTTGTGTAGTGGCCCGTTTCTGACTGTTCGAAAGGATACGGTACCAGGAGGCAAGGCGATCTTCGTTGCTATCAGCGTACTTCTGCAGGTGCAGTCGCGTCCGTCTCATTCTCGCCACACAGTGCTCTGACAAAAACCAGGCTACGAAGGGCGTGAGCGGCCTCTATGACGTCGTTGAGCATCTTTTCCGAGAGATGGCGAGTTATCTCAACCGCGTTCCGATCTATCTGGATTCGTCAACGACGTTGGCCCCTGCTCTGATGAACATCCTCGTCAAGGCCTGTATCCAAGTACTCGAGGTACTTGCGGTAACCACGAAGTATTGCAATTCGAGCACTAGGGGTCTTTGGGGGGCCGTTTCGCGGCGCACAAGTGCGTACACTATACAACGGGTACACATCTCTACTGAGCTTTGACGCACAGGGGATTATCTACGCGAGTTCATTGGAGGTAGCGAAGTGAAAACAGCGCTCGAGAAGTTACAGCACCTCACGAATGCAGAACTTTTGGCGGCTGTGGCGCAGATTAACACTATCGCACGCGACAGTGAGTCGTATCTAGACAAATATCTCGCAGATTGCTCATCGCTGGGATAGTTCAACCGAAGATACGCTTCGTTGTGAATGAATCAGGTAAAGGCTACTTCACACGTTTCGTCGCTACCATTCTGAGGGGCTGTTTTAGTCATCAGTGGTCTTCGTGTGTGGCTTGAGCCGCCAAATGCGCAACCGCGCAACTGGGAGAAGAAGCGGCGTCTCGATAGCTGTGCGTGGTTCTTCGGCGACAACAAGTGGGAGAGTTGGATGGCGCAAAGGAACGGGGTGTATTGGATATACGGCAATGGTATGTCGAAGGATACCTTCGAGTAGACTAAAACTGATCATCTATGAAGCTGGCGCTGGAAAGAGTGTCCTGTGGTGCGAGATCTTTGTCGCACTTCTCCGAATGCAACACTCACATCTTAACGTAGTTCGTCGATCATCGAGAAGCTCAAGCAGGACTCTGCGTTTCCTTTGGTGTACTTCTACTTTGACTTCAGTGACAATGCGAAGCAAGACTGTCGTTCACTGGCTGCTTCTTTGGTCTTTCAACTGGCAGCCTGCTCCGAAGCCTGCCAGGGCTATCTTCAACGACAGCAGACGACTACATCTCCGACCTACGATGAGCCACCCGTCATGCTGTCGAATCTGGTGAAACTTGCTGGATACGTATTCATCATGATTGACGCACTGGATGAGTGCCCCGAGCAGGAGCGGGACAGAGGTTCTGCTCGCTTTCTGTAACATCTCTGCGAGCTCGACAGCAATGAGAAGGACTTTCGCTTACTGGTGACCAGTCGTCCTGAAGCCGACATCTGGGTCCTCTTGTCATCTGTCACTCATATACTCAGCCTTAACGACGCTCGACAGCATCAGGAGGACGTGAGCGCGTTCATAGCCTCTCGACTCGACCGAGACGAGCACCGCTGGGCGCCCGACGTCAAAGATAAGATACGCAAAGCCCTCATCACAAGGTCCAACGGAATGTATGTCCTGTACTTGATACGGCGAAGACTTGTACTCATCGTATATCAGGTTCCTATGTGTCGATCTCCAGTTACTGCGATTACGAGACTGCATCTCGATCGCCGACGTCGAAGGCGCCTTGGACGAGCTGCCTTCCGACCTAAACGACATGTACACGCGCATCTTACAGAGATCTAATCCATCAAAGGCTTCAGTGGAGCGGCGTCGTCGTGTATTTCAATGTGTCGCTTCCGCGCAGCGTCCGCTTTATATCGCTGAAGTGATCGAGATATATTGCATGAACTTCAACTCTCGTACTCCCCTCATCCCGGTCCAAGACTGCGAGAGATTCATACTCGAGAAGTGCCCAGGACTCCTAAACATAGTTGATTGGACGAATTTGTATGGCGCTCAACACAGAGCTGTCCAATTCATTCACTTCTCTGCCAAGGAATACCTCACGTCCACCGATCTCGAGAGCACTACAACTCCTGCACATCGCTACGGCTTCGATGACTACTCCGCCAATCTTACGCTCGCAAAGATCTGCCTCTCGGCCCTCCAGGTTGACATAGATACCCCACCCCTGAGCTTACGTGCATATGCGGACTGTTATTGGGCTGAGCACGTATCATCTCGCAATGAAGACGATCTCGGCGATCTTCTCGATGCTTTCCTTCAGATAGACTCACCTTCTTTCGCCCGCTGGTCTGGCCCTGGTTCGGAGCATGGCCAGGACACCGCCTTCCATCGCTCGGTCAGGTTGAATCTATGCCATCATGCAGAAAGGATTATGGCACAGATATTGAGCGACCCATCTGCTCCCAACCAATCTCTCCTCACAATTCCGGATCAGTACGGTAGATCTGCGCTGCATGTAGCAGCGTCTTTGAGACATGTTGAGATGTGTCACCTACTGCTCAGCCACGAAGCCCTCGTCAACAGCACCGACAGAGACGGAGACACTCCTGTGCACAATGCCGCATCGGAGGGACACTCGGATATCGTCCGTGTGCTTCTGGAACATCCCGCAGCGGATGGGGCAGATCCTACCGCTCGATCTCGTGTCCGCAATGAGAATGGGCAAACCCCGTTGCACCGGGCCGCATATCGGGGACACGTCGACGTTTGTCGCCTGTTGCTCAGTCACGGAGCGCTCGTCGACAACAGTGACGAATGCGGGAACACTCCCGTACACTTTGCCGCACAGGAAAAAGAGCCGGAAATCGTCCGTTTACTCCTAGCGTATCGTGCGAAGGACGCGCCACAAGTCCTGCCAGCCGCGCGGAAGCTTAGGGAGAACTTGCGCAGGCATGCCGAGCAGGAGCCAAAAAGGCCGTGGGGCGCCATTCTGGAGGACTTCGCGTCTCAGCTCGAGGACCATGCAAATGGGTCAGACTGAGGGTTGCTTTTGCTCAAAGTAGTGCCGAAATGAACGCACATACGCCGCGCAGAGAGGTGGGAGTGTCGATGCAAGTTGGGAGATCCTGAGGCTGATGAGTGTCGCGTTGTATCGCTCAGCAGTCTTGTTGAAGTCGTACTACCTGGAGATAGGGATGCATTCGATACCATTTGTATTATGTATGAGGTACATGATTGGGTTGTGCGGAAACAATGCGTACAGTACTTGGGGTCGTAGGTAAACCGACCAACATAGGCGAACGTGTGCGAGACGGCTGCGACAGAGAAGCCATCCGCAGACGCGGGCATCCAGAAACTGTGCTTGAGCGAGGATGGCTGCCATGGGGTATGAGCACTGTGGCTCTGGACGACCGCGCATTTGCCCGCGTTCTTCGCTCCACGCCCCAATATGAACCAGAGCCCGCGTCCGTCGTCTGGGCATGCATAGCTGCGTAGGCCGCCATATGGAGCCCGAGGCCCACGCCAGAATATGCGCTGAAAGTGGATATTAGGATTGCGGTGAAGAAATAGAGCGGGAATGAACGGGGCACCTGCATTGACATCCTCGTCGTGTGCACCCTGCGAACTTCGCACCTATCTATTGCATTAGCATGGGTGACAACACCCAGAAGCAAAGCGCGTACACCCGGGGCGCCTATACTCAGCAATTGAGCCAGGGTGCGTGGACGGTAGAATGTTCCGCACACGCGACGAAAGATTTCGCTGGGTAGTAGAACATGAGCCTGCGAGCTATATGCAAGGAGATAAGATCGTACCTGAGTGCGTGTACAGCGACGCACATAGACATCCCGAGTACCACGAGTGGACCCGCGGACGACAAACTGAGCAGTCCAGGAATAAGGGTAAGCTATCGAGGTTTGCGCGCACCCGGGCGCCGTCGTTGACCGAGCTGTGTTGCGCCAATCTTGCATAAAGGTCGGGCAGATAGTCCCAGGTCTGCAAGGCGACGCTCAGGAGCGAGAGAGCGGGGAAGGTTGGGCAGTGCAACTTGAAGCAGACGCTCGGATTGAGCGGTGTAACAGACGCCTGGGTCTATGACTGTAGTTGCATTAGCACTCTGCGACGTGGGGCCCACGGAGAGGGAACGTACATAGAAGCGCATCTATACCGCTCCCGTCCATCCTCAATCAATCACGCACAGACCGGCTCAGCAGGTATGCCTTGCAACTGCATGATATCCCAGACGGGCAGTCTCTTCACTTATATCCAAGGGAGGGCGTGTGATGGATCTGAAGTGTTGAGCGTCTGTCGCCAAGGTCCGCAGTAACGTCGGAAACCGAGAGTGCACAACAGGAGGCGTTGGTTCTGAGTGCCCTCTGCATGGCGCGCCGAGAAGCGGGGAATGATGAGGATCGACCCGAAATTGGAGAGACCATGGGGGTTCGAGCTCAAGGCGGTGTGTGAGTGATCGCGCCTGCGCGCGATACATGCGGCACCAGAAGAAAGCCTGTCAGATCGTCAGTACACAGCAAGGAAGACAGCTGAGCAGGAGCATGGGCGTACCGTCCTCAATCCTCTGCGCACACGCCTCCTTCCGTCCTTCGTGTTTGACCATCCATCGCGTATTCCCAATCGTCCTCTGTGCAACTTCATGAGCCGAGAGTGTATATGGTTCCAAGAGTATATCGGAGAAGAGGGAAAAGCAGCTTCTGTCTCATAATGAAGAGGTGGTGGAGGTCGAAGAACAAGCAGCCAACGTCGAGCGTGGAAAGGCTCAGGCTCTGCCGAGGCCGCCGCCGCGACTACCACGCTGCCCTCGCGCCACAACAGTGACAACACCCATCAGCGCACCGCTATTCCCAATATAACGTTTATCTTCATCTGATCCCTACTTTCACTGTTCGTCTGCTCAACAACGTCGGATCGTTCTGCCACGGCCCGATAGCGCGAATTGCGCAGTCATGTCCTTCACTGGCTCCCAAATGCAATGGACAAACTCGCCAGTTTACTTGAAGTTGGCCTCCAGATCACAAGGAGGCCTCGGGGACGCGAAAGAGTGCGAGAGAACATGCTTAAGAGTATCACGATACCGGGTGAATGTCTCCGGGTGAGCTGCAGTCTTCGGATGAGCCACTACAGGATGGGTTGAGACTGAGCGCTCGGTCGTCGATGGTTCACTCGAGCCGCGTCGTTGACCGCGTAGACGTTCCCGCAACAACACCCTGTTCGCATGCGGGTCTCTTGGCTTTACTCGCCACCGTGCTCGCTGGTAAGATATTTGAGTATAGCCTCGTTGTGGTGCGCGCCGCCCGTTTCGCCGCCGGGCGCCATTCTCGAAGACTTCGCGTCTCAGCTCGGCGACCCGGAAGATGGGTCAGACTGAGAGTTGCTCTCGTCCGAAGTAGTGCCGGAATCCTCACACATACGCCGTGCAGAGAGGTAGGGGCGTCAATGTAGGTCGGGAGATCTCGAAGTCGAAGAAAGTCATGTTGTGCCGTTCGCTTATTTTATTGAATTCAAACAGCCTGGAAATAGGTAGATGTTTGACATCATTTGTATTGTATATGAGGCGGACCCCTTGACTGGAATGTACAGAAACGCTGCATACAGGACCTGGAACTGTGATGTAAACCATAAATTCACGCAAGCGCGCTAGCGGCTATGCTGCCCTCCCTCTCTTCAACGCATCATTTCCCTTTGCGAAGGAGAAACCCAACCACGGGGAACCGCTCCAGCGGTGACCTTAAGGGTTGAAGCGCAACGGCGGACTTCAGGGGGGACGGGATAAGAAGATGTTGAATAACTGTTCGTCACTGTGCTCCATAGCTTGTCCGTAGAACGACAGCGCCGCCCCGACCGTTCTCTACGAGGTACGATGAGGAGCAGAGAGCGACGAAGATGCTAGGGATGCGAGAGCGGCGTGCAGTAGGTAGGTGCAGCGCTCTATGTGAGATACGATCGAATGAAGTCCGGCGTCGTGCGTGTCGCGGTACGTTCGGCGATGTTCATGGAGGAGGTGAGAGAAAACCGCCCTCGGGCCGTGGGCCGGTCGGCGGTAGTCCGACGCCGTGAAGGTTACCTGGGTACTTTCATGTGTATGTCCACGGTTGTTCACGGTCAGAAACTCGATTATATGTCCCCTGCATCTGTCACGTCATAGTTTTGCGTCTCAAGGGCAGTGTACTGCATACCCACTTGCCTGCGCGTGGAGTTGTAGGCTCTGTCGGAAAGCACGGTCCGATGACTAGCAAGCCCTTGCAGCAACTGTGTACGTTAAGCACTGTCCTTGGCCTCTTCTGCTCACACGGTCGGCTTGTCTGGCGAAAAGCATCATCGTCAACAACTGATAGCTACGCCAACTTTGTCTGCCGCCATCCATCTCTCGTCGCCCTACGACACCCATGCCTACTCGCCCTCCAACTCTACAACTGACTCTCAACTCGGTCGACGAGACGACGGATCCGCGCAATCTAGGCGATCTCTGGAATTTAGCCCTGCAGCGCCACGAGTAAGAGACCGGAACAAAGCTGCTCGAGAACGCGATCGCGAAGGACATCCCACTTCACCCTGCCACTTCCGAAGAAGTCCTGGCAATCTTTGCTGCTCAGAGCCAGTCATTCGATGCTTTCCGAGCTCGCGGTCGAAAGGTCTTGCAGGTACTGAAGCCTACCGTGCACTTCGTCCGTCTTTTCATCGATGCTGGGGCTGAGGCCGGCTCGGTGAGTACCGCTTTATACATCTTGTGTCACGGCGCAGCCCGTTTCTAACTGTTCAAAAGGATACGGCCCCAGGGGGCAAGGCAATCTTTGTTGCTGTCGGCGTACTTCTGCAGGTGCAGTCGTGTTCGCTTCATGTTTACCGCACAGCGTTCTGACAATCAATAGGCGACGAAGGGCGTGAGCGGCCTCTATGATGTAATTGAACATCTTTTCCGAGAGATAGCGAGTTATCTCAATCGCGTCCCAATCTATCTGGACGCGTCAACGGCGTTAGCCCCTGCTCTGATGAACATCCTCGTCAAGGCCTGTATCCAAGTACTCGAGGTACTTGCGATGACCACGAAGTACTGCAATTCGAGTACCAAGGGCCTTTTGGGGGGCGTCTCGCGGCGCACGAGTGCGTACACTCTACAACTAATCCTCGTTCCTGCTAACCTTGTACGTGCAGAGGACTACCTTCGCGAGTTTATTGGAGGTAGTGAGGTCAAGACGGCGCTTGAGAAGTTACAGCACCTCACGAATGCGGAGCTTCTGGCGGCTGTGGCGCACAACAACGCCATCTCACGCGACAGTGAGTCATATCCCGACGCGCATTGAGCAGGATGCTCATTGTCCTCATAGTTCAACCCAAGATACACTTTGTCGCCAACGAAGCAGGTAGGGGCGACTTGTATATGTCATTATCACTATCCTCACCGCTCCTTGCAGTTGTCTGGGGTATTCGCCAGTGGCTGAAGCCGCCCAGCGAGCAACCGCTCAACTGGGAGAAGAAGCGGCATCTTGACAGCTGCCAATGGTTCTTCGACGATACATTCGAGAGCTGGAAGGTTCAAAGGAACAGGGTATATAATGGATATACGGCAATGGTACGTAGAACCTTACCTCCAAGCTAGCGTAGTCTCATCATTCCCGAAGCCGGCGCTGGAAAAAGCGTCCTGTGGTGCGCCGTCTACGCCACCTGTCATATCGAATACGAAGCTCATTTTCACCATAGTTCGTCGATCATCGATACACTCAAGAAGGATCCTACGCTCTCGTTGGTGTACTTCAATTTCGACTTCAGTGATACTACGAAGCAGGATTGCCGCGCCCTGGCCGCTTCTTTGGTCTTCCAATTGGCAACGTGCTCTGAGGCTTGTCAGAACTATCTTCGACGCCAGCAGACAAGCACTGCTCCGACATATGATGAGCTTCTCGTCATGCTGTCGAACCTCGTGAAACTCGCGGGACACGTCTACATCGTCATTGACGCTCTTGATGAGTGCCCCGAGCAGGAGCGGGACAGAGGCTCCGCTCGCTTTCTGCAACATCTTTGCGAGCTTGACAGCGGCGAAAAGGACTTCCGCTTACTGGTTACCAGCCGACCTGAAGCTGACATCTGGGTCCTCCTATCATCTGTCACGCATATACTGAGTCTGAGTGATAGCGGGCAGCATCAGAAAGACGTGAGCGCGTACATAGCCTCTCAACTCGATCGCAACGAGTACCGCTGGTCGCCCGATGTCAAAGCGAAGGTACATGAGGTCTTGAACGAGAGGTCCAACGGAATGTATGTCAAACGTTTGTATCCCGATGGCACCGAACTCATCTCTCATCAGGTTCCTATGGGTCGATCTACAGCTACTGCGCTTAAGAGGATGTATCTCAATTGCCGACGTCGAGGACACCTTGAATGAGCTGCCTTCCGACCTTCACAATACGTACACGCGCATCTTAGAGAGATCCGATCCGTCGAGGGCTTCACTTGAGCGTCGCCGTCGCGTATTTGAATGTATCGCTTCCGCCAAGCGCCCACTTTTTCCAGCGGAAGTGGTCGAGATATATTGCATGGACTCCGACTCCCTTACGCCGCCCATGCCGATCGAGGACAGCGAGAGATTCATCTCGAGAAGTGTCCCGGCCTCCTGAACGCGGTTGATTGGACCGATTGGTATAACGCTCAACACAGGACTGTACAGTTCATTCACTTCTCTGCCAAGGAGTACTTCACGTCTGCCGAACTCAAGGGCGCCACAACTCTTGCACATCACTACGTCTTTGACGACTACTCTGCCAATCTGACACTTACTAAGATATGTTTCTGGGCACTTGAAGTGGATACCGCACCCCTGAACCTACGTAAATATGCGGATGAATATTGGACCGGTCACATATCACCTCAGAATGAAGACGATCTCGACTATCTTCTCGATACTTTCCTTCGCAGTGGCTCCGCATCTTTCACACGTTGGGCCGTCTCCAAATCTAGATGGGGAAAAGATGATACTGTCTTTCATTGCGCGGCGAGGCTCAATCTATGCCATCATGTAGAGAAGATGTTAGCGCAGTCGCTGAGCAAGGCACCTTCCCCTTTCAGCTTTCTCACCACCATTCGCGCGCGGTACAGAAGGTCTGTACTGCATGATGCAGCGATGGAAGGACACACCGAGATGTGTCGCCTATTGCTCAGCCACGACGGAGCCCTAGTCGAGGATCTTGACGAGGACGGAGACACGCCCTTGCACATGGCGGCACTGAATGGACACAAGAATGTCGTTCGCATGTTGTTGGAACAGCCCGCAGCGAATGGAGCGGATCCCGCCGCTCGATGCCGTGCACGTAACAAGCATGGTCAGACGCTGTTGCACCGGGCTGCATATGGGGGGTATGCTGACATTTGTCGCCTGTTACTGGATCACGGAGCCCTCGTCGACGACACCGACGAAGACGGAGACACTCCTGTCCATAACGCCCAAGAGGAAGAAGCGTCGTCGTTCGTATCCTCTTGGAGCACCGTGCGAAGGATACGAACGAGTCCTGCCGTCTGCGCGTAGACTCAGGATGGACATGCAGTGGGACGCCGAGAAGGACCCCGAAGGACCGTGGCGCGCCATCCTGGATGATTTCGCGTCTCAGCTCGAAGATCCGGAAGATGGCTCAGAGTCAGAGTCAGACTGAGGGCTGGTATCTCGCTCACTTATTTAAAGTGGGGCGAAAAGACATCGAGATCGTCGCTGTAAGTTAGAATGTCTGAACAAGTGTGCATATCTCGCGTTGCGCCGCTCGAACTTTGTGTTGTATATGTACCGTATTGTAGCACATTATACGCTTTATTCGTGTTATATTCAAGATAGACAACTACAACATTAAAGATCACTACCTACAGGACTGAAAGCTATGTGAACCACCCGCCATGAGAGACAACCGGGAAAGACGACCACTTGAATGAAAAATCAGTGAACGTTTCAGAGCGGTGGTACCTAAGGACCACAATCACCTAAGCTATAGTACTTTGACGCAACGCGTAAGGATCAGGGGTGCACACAGTCCCCCAGGTCTATGGCCAGACGCTGAGCGGCGGTCTCGAGCGGCTCGTCTCGTGCGCGCTCCGTGTCAACTACCGTCCGCTTTCGGCCTTGAGCTGTGACGACAATTCCCACACGCCTTGAGCTGAATGATACCGCAAGGGTAGCGAAGTCTAGCATGCCCTTATGCGAAGTATGATGTTCATTCGCCTTGACCAGCCTCGAGTAAATGAGACCGCTTCTTTCGCCGTACACGCGTACGAGGTCTTCCATGCGCGCCCGCGGCTCTAGTAGATCGAAAAGGTCGCGGAAGGACTCGTCCCGTTCGAGATGCAGTTCTGAGTCATCGGCCCAAACGTCCTCACGGACCTTGAGCGCGATGAACAGATTCAGCACGGCCGTTTCCCTCTGGAGCGATGGAAGAACAGGCGAGCTCGTTGATGATGATGCATCGGTCGGTGGAGTTGCGGCCAATGGGAATGGATCTGAGGTGTACGGATATTTGACGAGTTCCGAGTATGCTGGGAGATAGGACGATCGTAGAATGTGCATACAAGCTGCGACGGTATGAGCAGGGAGTCTTTGGATGTACACTGATCGAGGCATACCGATGTAGAACGATCTGCTAACATGCCTGGCTTCCATAGCAAGCCAATACAGCGTCCTTCGCTGTCTCACAACCGTACCCGACTCGAACTTCGGTCGCTGCGGGAAGGTGTGGTACAGAATGTGAAGGAGTAGATGAGGAGGGAGGGCGGAGAGTTTCGGCGCCGGCCTTGAGTACGCGGTAAACGGAGGTGGAGGTACTGCATCTGTGCCGTCCGTCCGGCGTTGGTGTAGTTGATATGGCGGAGGAGGTTGAGGAAGGGGACGATGGGCTGTAGTCATCTTCTCGTCGATGATGACCATTATCGACGATTCAATCTGGCGAGTCCTTTATAGCCACCCGACCCACTGTCACCAGTTCAGTGTTGAGCGCTTGTAAGAGGGAAGAAGTCCCCTAAATCAGCCTCACAGATGCGATATGGTAGGATGTCTGGCTGCGGACTGTGCAACAGCACTCCGGTCTCAACGACACGCCCCACGCGCGTGAAGCTATATCACGGGGTTGCGAGAACAACCTGCAGCACCTAGCAGCAGGAGTGGTATAGAGCAGCGAGAGGACGCCTCTGTGGCGTATGGTAAGATGGTGGTGAGAGGAAGAGTGTAGTGCCCCACTCGTCCGGCCAAGAGTGAATGCTCAAGCGCTCAAGCGCCTAAAGAGAGGCACCGTCACATGTACTTCACACAGCCTCGTAAGCCGAGTACACATATCGCTCTATCCATTGTGAGGATGAGTACCGCGATAGGACCAAGATGAGACTGGGCCAACTCTGACCATGGTGGCCGATGATAAAGAGCAGACCTGAGCAGGTTGACGAATGGACGGCATCAGCGGCATGTGCCGATCAACGATCTCCCTCGCGTTGCTCTCGATTGTGGCACCACATTATACCATCCCTTCCTCGCCTTCGACGGCCGTGGAGTGCTTGCATGACCTTATGCTGTGAGACTTTGCTCAAAGTGATCTCCCTCGGCACTTAGGCTGATGACGTGTGCGGCGCAGCTACCGTGCACTCGCTGCACGTACATGCCCCGATGGTCTCACAAACTTCGTACTCTCCTTATCGCCGGTTGGCCGTAGTCCAGCACTTGTGACGACTCTAGCGTTTTTTCATGGTGCCCGCTACCAGCTCGCGTATCGTCGCAGACCTTCAGATCATAGCCCAAGTCATAGTGCTTATAATACAGATGGAAAAGTCCGATGGAGCCATGTGCGACACGGACTTAAAAGTTCCACAGCGCCGGCTGACACGGGCTTTAAAGTCCGGCCCGCGCACATTACACACGACTTTCGCGTCACGGCCGGAACAATACATGTGACGGCAAGGGTATAGGTACAAAATAGACACATCGCTGATACTATACTGGTTAAAAAAATAAATAGAAGTATTACAGCGAGCCAGCGTACAACCTGTGGCCCTGGGTGAAGCGACAACTCGCCACTACGCAGGTCATGTCAACCGCCGTCGCACATGTACAGTCCGTCCCGTGCCCCTTGTAGAACCTGAGCCACCCGGTAAATGCAGCTGCCTGCGACCGCACGTATTTTAAACCGTCCCCAATGTCTCCGCGCCCCGCGTACAACCTGCCGCACCAGGTAATGCGGCTGCTCGCCACCGCGCGTACGTCGGAGCCAGCCGGTAACCGGCCGCTGCCAGGTAAACCGCTGCCGCCGTGTAGAGTCGGTCCCGCGCCGCGCGTAGAACCTGAGCCACACGGTAATGCGGCTCCTCGCACCGGCGCGTAGGTCGGAGCGAGCCGGTAACCGGCCGCTGCCAGGTAAACCGCTGCCGCCGTGTACAGTCGATCCCGCGCCGCGCGTAGAACCTGTGCCACGCGGTAATGCGGCTGCTCGCCACCGCACGTAGGTCGGAGCCAGCCGGTAACCGTGACCGGCCGCTGCCAGGTACACTGCCGCCGCCATGTAGAGTCGATCCCGCGCCGCACGTAGAACCTGAGCCACACGGTAATGCGGCTCCTCGCACCGGCGCGTAGGTCGGAGCGAGCCGGTAACCGGCCGCTGCTAGGTAAACCGCCGCCGCCGTGCACAGTCGATCCCGCGCCGCGCGTAGAACCTGTGCCACGCGGTAATGCGGCTCCCCGCCACCGCACGTAGGTCGGAGCCAGCCGGTAACCGTCACCGGGCGCATCTCGGTAGACAGCTGTCGCCCGGGTAGTTTGCACTCCGCGCGCATTGTAGAACCTGCGCCGCCATGTAATGAGGCTCCTCGCCCTCGCGCGTACGTCGGCGCCAAACACTGACCATTACCAGCGCGTCCAGGTAACCCAGCGCCATCACGTAGTGTGCATTCCGTCCCCGCTGTAGAACCTGAGCCGCCCGGTAATGCGGTTCCTCGCTCGCACGCGTATATCGGAGCGATCTGGTAACCGTTACGAGGCGTACACAGGTAACCCACTGTCGCCCGCGTACTCTGCCCTCAGCGCCGCGCGTAGAACCTGCGACGCCACGTAACCTGGCGGTGAGCCGCTGCGCGTACGTCGGAGCCAGCCAGTAATCGTTACTGGCCGCTTCCAGGTAAACCGCGATCGACCATGTAAAGCCCTTCCCACGCCTCGCGTAAAACCGGAGTTTCCCAGTAAAGCGGCTGCTGGCGGCAGTGTGTACGGGGTAACGGCCCGGTAACCGTTACCAGCTGCGTCGAGGCAACACGCCGCCTCCCCGGAGAACCTGCGGCAGAAGGTAATGAGGCGGCTCGCCACCGTCCGTATGCCAGAGCCACCCGTTAACCGTTACTAGCCGCGTATGAGTAAACCGCTCTTGCCCAGGCATAGTCCATCCGGGGCCGGTGTCAAACCCGACACAGCCGGTGATGTCGTTGCCTACCGCCGCTTGTACGTCATGGCGCCCGATGACCGTTACCAGCTGCGTCTAGGTGGCCCGCGGCCTTCGCGCATTGTGCACTCCGCGCCCCGCTGTAGAGCCTGAGCCTCTCGGTAGCGCGGCCCCTCACCCCCGCGCGTATGTCATAGCGAGACGGCAGCCGCAACCGACTGTGGCTGGAGAATATGCCGCAGTCGCGTGCGTCCTCCGGCTGCATCCAGGTGAACTGCCCTTTCCGCCTCCATGTACAGTCTGCGGCACCGGGTAATGCAGTGTCTCGTCGGCACACATAGGGCATGGCGATCGAGCCGGGCAGATATGAAGTTGGAGGAAATCAAGTTTCCGAACCCTACATCGCATGAAGAGATTCCTTTGAGCACGCGGGGAAGTTCGTGTAGGGCACAAAAAAGGCGTGGGCTGGGCCAGAAGAGGCATACACGAGCGACCGTCGATGATGCCTCAATCTTGCTCCGGGGGACGCTGGAGGCTGCGGTCGTCGTCTCACCCAACGGCAACGAGACCATGCTGAGAGCCCTCGGAAACCGTGAGGTCCCGAGCGAGTCACAGAGCGCAGATACTGTAGAACGACGGTCAGCGACATTTCAGTCAGAAGCGTCAGATCATGTACCTGACATTGATCCACAGGACGCGCAGTGTGTTAGAGTATATCTTGAAGACTTGAACGACGGACTCGGTGCTCTAATAATGTCTTCACGAAGCACGGCTGGTGCGATGGGTAGAGCCGTCGCCGTACACGGCGGCTCGATAACCTCCATCTACTCCTTCTCCAGATGCCGAACAGACAATGGCGAGCGCAATGTCGAACCAGATTGCACCGAAGATGTAGTGGTGACGGAATAAAGAGAAATTCGTGCATCCGAGACTCCTCGTTTATGCGACTTGAGTCTTCGCGACGTGGACGTTGCCGTTGATGACTCGGCCCATAGAACGGACATGGGGGGGCTTGGACGTGGCGAGTGATGTCCTTGCTCGCTACCCAACTGCGGCCACTAGAGTGATTTGTATCCCATGTGGGATGAACGATCCTGTCCATCGCTCGCCATCCACGAGTCCCGTAGATCGTTGTATCGCAACGACAAGCGTTGATTGGGAATTGAAAGAGCGCGGGAACTGGGTGGACGACGTCCCGAGCCTAGCTTCGGCGGTCGCAGATCGTCGCGAAGACAGGCGTTGCGTAGAAGCCGTCACGACGGCCAGGAAGCGGCGTAGGCGGACGTGGGAGGTGAGCCTTCTCGGACCCAGTCCATAGCATGAAGCCAACTCCGCCAAGGCGACTTAGTGCGGGCATGTGGGACCGCCTGTTGCCATTTCTTCAATGCCTGTGGACGAGCCTGCCGGTTAGCGCACACTTGACAATAGAGCT